ATCACATTAACACCTTCTGACACTTTTATTTAGAGGCTTTTTCTTCCCTTCTTTAGTGTGTTTATAGTTTTATAGAAATTGTGCTTCACTTTGTATTTTATTTTTCCTCATACACTGAATTGCAAGTGTAAGTAATGAAATAATGTAATGAGAGGAGAGTTAGATTCCAGCAAAAACAGCTCTCATGATGGTATCTTCAAGGGATGATGTGGTATGTGAGTTACATTAGATTATTCCTCTCATTTTTTCATGAAATAAAAGCTATTAAATGATTTACTGGGATTTGCTTTAGTTAGTCTAGTCCATGATACCCAGATATAGAAGCCTTTTTTTGATGCGGAGCCTACAAGATAATTACCCAGCTTTAGGAGTAAAATTATTCAGAATTTAACAATCTAAATTACTTGTGTGTTTAATGGAGAAGGGTTAACCTCTTCACTGGATCCACCAGTGCCAGATTAATAAATTCAGGAAAGTCAAACCCAAAGTGATTATTAAGATGAAACAAATATTTCCAATTGTCTTGAAGCAGTAATAATCTGGCAATACAATGTTTCTTTGAGAGCAGGGCACAATGGACTCAAGTGTATAGGTGAGCATTTTGTTGCTGAAGCCTTTTTGGAAGTGACAATAACAGCACCTGGCTAGGCAACAGGAATTGCTAAACTGCCAAAAATTAAATTGTTTTTACTGCCAATAATTAAATACTAGTGTGTGTTTGATAGGAATTGCAGTTAATAGATACTTAAAGTTTTTCTCAAAAACAAAGCAAAAAAAAATTAAAATGCTAGAGTCCCCTGTGATGCTCCAGTACTTGTTTACTGCAGTATCAGACTCTGAGGGGTTATTGGCAAGGATCTTTTTATTTCACCTTTCCTGAAAATAAGACACTTTAACCTTGTTCCAAAGTATTTGCACAATCAGAGTTCTCAAAATGTTTGGGGACAGATCTGTGGAGTTTCAGTGCTTATTTGTGCATGCAACAAATCATGGACTCAGCACTGTAAGAAATTTTTATTGGTTCTTACTCAAAAGGGGTTCTTATTGAGGACACTCAAGAGATTTCTTACAGGGACAGAGGTGACACCATGGTAGAGAGGAGAGAAAATAAGGACAAAAAATACCTTTCTTATATTTTAGAAAGTGAGCTGGTAGTCAAGGCTGACAATGGGCTGACAAACCATCTTTGATAATGTGTAACTTGTTACAAAGGTTTTATAAAGGAAATAAAACTAATCAGCAGTCTGGTAGCAAGGACGAGGGGAATTAGTGGCAGCTGAAATTTGGCTTGCAGAAGGATGTCCTTGGGCAAAGAAGCAAACAGTGGAAGTGGTCTAGGAGCCATGAGAAGTTTGATTTGATGGTAAGGTATCTCTGGATGTGATAAAACAGAGCTAGGATAAAATATGTAACATAATTGTTCTAATTATTAGCAGTTGCACAAAGATTCTTTTATTTGTAGATAGTGTAGAGGGGAAAGAGTGGAGAACAGACCCTGTGTGCAGTTTCTTCAGAGACTTTGGAAGCAGATGGATACCCCTCGAAAGTAGTTGATTAGGAGTTGAAAAGTCCAGGACAGAAGGAAATTTCAAAATCAGCTTCATTCAGTTTTATTCAGTCCTAGGTGTCTGGAGGAGCTCAGCACCTCCTGTTCCACTGCTCCCCTTGAGGAAGGTGTAGATTGTGCTGGGGGCACCCCTCAGCCTTCTCCATTCCTCTGATGCTTCTGTTGGACCCATCAGATAAGTCTCAGTTGTCATTGGTGATATGGAGTGCCTTAATCTACTTAATTGTTCTTGGTATGTGAGGAGTTCTAGACTGCTCGTCATCTTTGATACAGTTCCTGATGCACTTCCAGTTATTTTATGTTTGGGTTTTTTTAATTAGGAAATAAGCTGATTTAGGAAACAAATCTGTGAATACACACAGTTGAGTAGTGAAGTTTTGTGTGTACTCTTATGTTTTCTAAAATTGTTTTTTTTTAGTGTCCTGACCTCTGGACCAATCTTAGTTCTTGATGTTCTGTAGGCAGTTATAGTGCAGAACCTATTGATTTGTGTAATGGTAGGATATATAAATTTATATGTGTGTAGGTCTTATCCCCTCCTGTAAGTTGGATTTTTTTAGCAATTTTCTTTTCTAAAACATTCAGGTTGAGATTCAGCTACAAACTGGAGCAGGCATCTGAACCTCTGCTGCAGTTTATTGAAAAACAGTGCATGTATTTTTATTTGTTCTGTAATTTGTCTCTAAAACATTGGCAGCACTATCCAGTGGATTACTGTAAGAACAGCTCTACCATGAGGAACTTGTTCAGTTATTCTTGATTGTGTAGCAAAACCTTAATGTGCATGTGCATGTAGACATTCATATAAATTAATTGATCTGCTCTGGTGATTGAGGCTTGCTCTGAGAGGTTTTCTGATTCTGGGACAATTGAAGGACTTCAGTTATCTTGGACCTGCTTTTCTGAGTATTTTGTTTTGTTAGTATTCTTCCTTTGAGGTTAGAGTTGGGTTCAGCCTTCCAAGTGATACCTTTTTTAAAACCTGTTCTAGCTTTACTGAGCTCCTATTGCCCTTTCTCAAGTGCTCTCTTTTTTGATAATTGTTGTGTATTTGCTCTGACTTCCCACAGAATTGCTGTCTCCCAATATGATATATGCACATTTTACTCTTTTAAGCTTTTTAAACATAATTTGTGTAGCTGCCCTTTTCAAACTAAACAATACCTGAACAGATCTCTGTTTTTTTGCAAAGGTGTGCAAAGGTTCCTGTTCAAGTGGTTCCTCTATATTTTGAGTCAGTTCATTGTAAATATCTGTCAAGCTTCTTTAGTTCTCCTAAAACGTTTTTTTAAAAAAACAATTCTTAAATTAAAAGGATTTACAAAATTTTATACAAGTTAAAAGAAATAGTTTACAGTTTCCAAAAATTTCTTCTTAGCGTCATAACCTGATACAACTCAAATCCGTGTGGTGCTGATTGAACTCTCCTGTCACTGAGTTTTCTGTCTTGGTGCTTTTCCAGTCTCCTCCAGCCTGGTGCAGTAACATGAGAGCCATACAGCTCAGGTTAAGAGGTCCTGTAGGAGGAATGAACAAAGTTCTGAAAAGTTAAGATCATAAATGATCTCATAATACAAGAGAAATATTATTTCCCACTCATCACCATTTCAATCCTAGTAACTGGGTTTTTTTGAAATGCAGAAAAGACCTCATCACATGGATCTGGTTTTCTAATTACTTCTCAAGAATAAATCTATGATTGCTTGAAAAACTGGACCTTTTTTCTTCCCTTAAATGTTTTTCCATGTTTTTCAGCCTATTTCTTTTCCTGCTTTCACTTGCACCCTGCCTGAAGGATGCTGTCATGATTATGCCTAATGATTCTTCAATCTTTTTACTGACCTTTTTTTTTTTTTTTTGACTTGATATTGACTATATTCTATGCCACTAGGTTCATTTCCTTTTCTCTGGCTTCTCCTGGAAAGTATCACATTTGTTATTGCTTTATATTACTTTAGCAGGCTGTGTCTGGAAACTTCACTGCTCACCCTTGCCCCTACTACAATGAAGTCAAATAAGCAGCTGGTACCCTGTTCTGAGGGGGCATTCTACAGATTAGCTGAAACCAAGCAATAAGGACAGTTTTAAATCATTTACTCTCCAAGCTTATTTAAAATACTTTGTGACTGTGTTTTGATCAGTAATAAAATTAATAAAATCTATGCTGATTGTATCTTTACATTTTTTACATTCCTCATTCAGTGATGCAGTTTTTGAAATACTACTTATTTGTGGGAAAATGATTGTATTGTTTTCTGATTCATTTATTGATGTGAGATTGTATGATTTGTATAAAATGGGATAGAAAATCATAAGGCCAAATCTGGATCTTTGTCATACTGTTCAAGTTAGAAATTTCTACTGAAATAAGGACATTTTTACTCAATTACTGGGCTTGAGATTGATTAGATAATGGCTTGGTAGGTAGAAAGATAGGGTAGAGCTTGTGCCTTGTTTCCTTCTATGTATCTGTTAGTGTATGATAAGGGTCTGACTTCTTTGGAACAATTCTATTTCCAACAGCAGTCATTCAGACTCAATTATAGCTCATGGGTTGAAATTATCTCCTTAAAAAGGAGATGACTATTAGCAATGTTTTAGATTTCTTGTTTAAAAGGGTAATTGATGAAAATTTCTCACAGATTGTATCTCTAAGTCTCTGCCTTTACTACAGGGAGGTAGGAGGAAAAGCCACTTCTAAATGGATGAAATGTTTTTTGAAAACTGGTTCAACTGAGATCTCTTATTTTTCATCCATATGTTAAGTGTCCAAAGTAATGGAATGCAAGTTAGTGCCTATCATGCTTTCAGAATTTTTAGACTATACATACTGTTATTTAGTGTTCTTAAATACATATAGGACATCAGATTATATCCTATAATCACTCTGCACATTTTATTACATTTGGATGTTTCCTGAAACATGGAAATCTGTTCAGAAGCAGAAGAAAATGTATTTTTTGTGATGCATTCAGTGTCTCACAACCAGTGTGATTTTTGGGTTGTGTTTCAGAAGCTTTCATGGGATCAGAAGGGAGTGGCACAGATTCCTCTGTGCAGGGTTTGAGTGTGATATTGCCTGACACCTTCAAACAAAGCTGTTACTCTGTGCTTGTGATTTCACATACTAGAAATCAAATTCCAGTGAAGTTGACTGATTCCAGCATATTTTTTGGGTATGTCTGAGTGTGTGAGAATGACTCAAGTCAGTGCAAGGTTCATCACTGAGTCCCATGTCTAGTTTGAATCTTCCAGCATTTTTTGCGTAACGCACGTAATCGGATTTAAGCCTACAGAGAAAGGACAAACTCTAAATCTCTTGTTGACTTTTTCTGGTTGTAGCAAAGCAGAACTGCCATGATGTTGGGGGGGAGGTGTTGGAAGGGAGGCCCTGGGTATGGTGTCTAATGGTCAGCGATCCGTGTGTTTGCAGGGGCCGTGGGGGAGTGCCTCCGCCACCAGCAGGAGTGCCCAGAGGGGCACCAGCTCCCCGGGGAGTCCCTCCCAGCAGAGGACCCGTCAGTCGGAGCCGGGGACTTCTGGCACCCAGAGCACGAGGAGTTCCTCCCCCGGCAGGGTACCGGCCCCTGCCGCCGCCCCCGGCGCAGGAGACCTACGGGGAATACGTAAGTGGAGCTGTGGGTGTGCTGAGCGTGGAGCCTGGGTCGTTCTGGAGAGGGCAGATCCCTTCAGAACTCTGTACAGTTAGCACCTAAGTGCTGACCCAACATCTCTGACAAATGTGGTCATCTCTCTTTATCATTTCAGGCTTGAACTGCTTAATTAAAAAAAAAAAAAAATTGGGTTATATGTATGCACCATCATAAAGACATTTACAGTACATTTGGCAAAATAGTTATGTGCCTCTTAAATGTTTAATGTTAGGTTTCTGCTTTCCAAAAAATTTGGAAAATCGCGATTATTGTAGACTTCTAATTCTCAACTAAAACAGAATAATATTCTAATCTTCCTTCCTAAGCCTATCTTTGTGGTCATATAGTAGTTTAATGGTCAGACATGTAAAATATTTTTATGAAAGCTTCAGAACTAATCCTAAAATTTTAACAATGCATCTCAATAAGCCATACATATTCATCCTGATTTTATTGTATTAAACATTAGAATCATATCAAAATAATTTTTATGTTGTATATGACAAAATTATGCAGTTTTGAATTGTTAAGGAAAACTTAAATTGAACTTACAGAGCAGTAAGATAGAGAAAAAATATCATTAAGGCAAAACTATAGTGATAAAAATGAATTTAGTCTTATAGGAAAATAATACCTTCAAGGACAATGCTTTTAATACTAAAGGTTTTAGTGTGCCCTCTTTACAGCCGAGTGTTTCTGGACTTCATTGTTTAGACTAGCAAAAAAGGAGATTCTGTGTACCTGAAAATTTGCTATTTAGATATTTTTTGCTTTCCTCTAATCCTTTCTTTCACCTACCTTCACCTCTCTTCTTCCAAAGATCCCCACCAAAACCGTCCAAATAAATACCAGGTTTTTTTCCTTTTGGCAGAAAACCAGTTTTCTGTATAACACTTGTAGATCTATAAGGGAAGAAGTTCAATGTTGTTAATGTAAGCATTTATGCATATAACTGAAAAAAATCAGAAGAAGTTAATGTAGTTCATTAATTTTGAGGAAATATACTTTAACAACATGCCTAAATTTTCCCTGGCTATACTTGACTAGTCAAAGTGGGTACTGCTAATAAGTGGTTTTCTAACAATGCCTTCCAAGGAATCAATCCTCATTGTACACCTGTTTCCAGGACATACATTCTAGAACACGTAGAGAGATGGTAGAATAGAAACCTCTTTGAGTAACTTCATATTTCTTTATGATTTGCTGTTTATAGAATGTGTCTATAGAAGGGGTGTGGAAGTAACAGCTGCTTGCCTCAGTATCCTGAAGTATGCTTCACTTCTGGGAGAATAATTAGAAAATAGCACTGTACAGAAAAATAGTGCTGCGCTAAATAACTTCTAAAAAGAATTTTCTTTAGAACTGGATCCCTTATCTACCAAAAAAGATACCTTAGCAGGGATAGATATAGTTAGATAGATATAGTACTTAAAGCTGTAGTTGAAAAAGCAGTCCTAGATGGTCTATATTTTCTTTAGAAGAACGTTTAGCAGGGACATAAGCCATTGGTGTGTTGCATGTTCAGTATTAAATTTGATGCTTGGTATTTTTACCTGTCCATTTGCAGGACATTATCTAAGTGCCTTATCTCTGTCTTTTACAGGTTAAGGGAGCATGGTATGAGTCTTTAGTAGTGTTTCTGTGCCTTCTTTACTGATTCCTGCTTAGTTATATCTAATACTGAAGCATTAGTTTGCCAACCTGAGCAGAATAAGGTCTTGTTGATTGGGAAGTGTATGTAGAATGAGAACATCAGAAACATTGGGGGATACCATAAACTATTTTAAGCACCATCAAAGCTTTGGAGACTGAGATATCCAGAGAGGTTAGAGAGAAACCTTTAGAAGTGTATTGGGTTTTTGTGGCCAGGTTTTGGTAGCAGAGGGCTGCAGGGGTGGTTTCTGTGAGATGCTTTTGGAAGCTGCTGCTGTGCCCAGCCAGCTCCAAGGTGGTCCTGCTGATGGCCAAGCCAAAGCCCAATGGTGGTACTACCTCTGGGATAATGTATTAAAGGGAAGGAAAAAAATCCTAGTCTGGAGCAGTCTGTTCCCGAAGGACTTCACCCCATGCAAGGTTCCTACTCTGCAGCAGTTCATGACGAGCTGCAGCCCAGGGGAAGGGCTCACATTGGAGAAGTTTGTGTTGGACTGTCCCTGTGGGAGGGATCTGATGTTGGAGCTGGTGAAGAGTGGGAGATGTCCTGTCCCTGAGGAGGAGCAAGCAGGTGTGGTGAGTTCACCACAGCCCCCGCTCCCATCCCCTGCAGTGCTGTGAGGGAACGAGTAGAGAATTTTGGAGTGAAGTTGACATGGGGAAAGAAGGGAAGGGTGCAGGGGAAGATGTTGCTCAATTGAGTTTTAATTTCTCATCATCCTACTCTGATTTCATTGGTAATGAGCTAATTTACCCCAACTGGATCTGTTTTGCCTGTGACAGTAACTGGTGAGTGATCTTGAGCCATGAGGCTTTTATGTCCACCTGAGGAGGGGAGTGACAGAGTGGCTTTGGTGGGCACCTGGTGTCCAGTCAGGGTCAACCCACCACAAGAAGACTTTCTATTGAAGATTGGAAAGTCCTGAGGATTCATGAAGCTCTTGATTCCCTTAGGCTTACAAGCCTTTGCTTTGTACTCCTTGAACAAATGTGAAACTGTGCAAGTCCAGGAAGAAGCAAACTGCGTGTGGAAGGAAGCTTTGAACCATTCACTCCTGTAACTGAATATTTAAAGGTGATTTAGGGTTTCAGTATGTAAAGTCCTTGTCCATTTCCTCTGTTGAGTGCTATTAAATCTACCTTGTTACAGACAATGAATTACAGCTCCCTTTTTCCTTCAATCCTTTGCTAAATCTGTGTAGTCCTTGAAACCAGTGAATTTTTAACATCTGTGATGAACTCAGTTTTGCCTCTTGCTTATCCTGATATCTCTTCTTCCTCTACTTGATTAAGTACCTGGTTTTTTATAAATAGTTATCTTCAAAATGGGAAAGAGAATGCCTGTTTCATTCTGAAAAACTGGAAGGGTTACTTCTGGAGGCAGTATTTCGCATGGGAAAGATATCACAGGCAAAAAGTCATTAATTTGAGATGCATTTTAATGTAAGATCAAGAAAACTGTGAACATTGCTGACCTTTGTTTAGAGCACACAGGGAAGTGTTCCAGAATCTTGCCCATTACAGAAGGCTCTGCTCAGAGTGAGTTGCCCCTGCCTTCTGTCAGCTTTCTGGGGTCTGTGCATTGGTGGCCTTTAAATGCTTTGGCTTTCTCTGCAGAAGTCACACAACGTACAGCAATAGTAGCACGTCTTTCCAGTTCAGTATAAGCAGTTTTCCCACTCCACTGTTGCCAGTCTCACTTATGTATGAGCCTCAGCTGCAGGACTCATTCCTCCTGAGACCCCACCACACTGTTAGTACCATGATGAAGCTCTTGAAGCCACTAAATGACAGTTTCTTATCATTTCCTCTGAAGACTGACTCCTTAATAGCTGTAGCATCAGCCTGTATAGGAAAAATTCCATCCTCTACAGCCAGCCAGCTTTATAACTCACTGCTCTGGTTGCTGTGATAAACTTTCTCTGACGACTAGCAGGACTCTCATTTTTCTTTCCTCAGCTGCTTAGGTCAGGAGAAAACATTTTGTGACGTGTGAAGCGTGGCCAGGATTATTTTTGTAACAGTTGGATGAGGGAAACCATACTAGGTGGATGCAACATTTGTTGAAGAACTTACAGATGGTTTCATGAACATTTTTCTCTTAATTAAATGAGATTTTTTTTTTCTACTCATTGAACTATACTGTGCAATAGAGAAAAAAATATTTTTATGGATTTTTAAGCTGACGACTTATTCCATTACGATAAGAAATAGAAACTGTATTTAAGTACTAGCTGGAAATTTTAAGCTTTTCTACAATTTTCCAAGAAGCAGGAAATTAGTAGCAGTGTAAGGTCAATTCCTTAGCAAATGTTGAGTCAAGCATGGGTTAGAGCAGAACTGCTCAGTCTCAGTTACTGCCTCATCACATTTGTTGCTCTTGGCCTCGTCCTGCTGTTGTCTTCTTCTCAGCTTCCAACCTCTGAGGCTTTTTTCCAAATTAGCAACACAGCAGTGGGACTGAAGCTTTTTAAGACTAGATTTTTTATTTGATTCTGTTTTCATTTTACAAAGGCAAATATTTTGCAAATATTCTACCAGTCTTTCAATTCTGTACTTTGCATGAATATATTTGTGATGATGCTGTGTCAAGGCCTGTTTTGGCTGCTTAATTGTGGTAAATGCGAAGTGAGTTTTATCTGAGTTCATAATCACATTTTTAGGCGTTAAGAACTTAAACCATGGATTTAAAACCTGTTGCCCTGGCAGTTAAAAAATAACTCATCAGTCCAGCATGTTTTGGCCAAGACTTGCTTCAACACTACTTTGGAAGACTGTCAGATCTGAATATTCATCCCTGTTCTGGAGAAAATTTGTGGCAGAGCTTTATTTCTGGTTTTGGCCAATTTATATATGTTTCCTTGTGTTCAGAAAAGGGTTAACTCAGGGACAGAGTTTTCGTATGCCCTGACCAAATGTGTAATTTCTAGCAGCTAAAGCTCCAATGACATTGCTTTCTGTATTAAGAAATGGAGCCAAGATAGAATGTCTACCAGTAAGAGACCAAGGGAGCCTTTCTAATGTTAAGTAAATTGTAACTTAAAAAAGAACTCTGTGAATTATTTCTAATCAGATTTCAAAAGTATTTTAACATGGATACAGATACAGGCCACTCAAAAGGATGTACAGAACAGTTGGATACAAAATAGTTACTGATAGCAACAAACTTCAAAACCTACTCTTTAAAATCTACATTTAGTTATTTCTTCTTTCTGCAAAACCGTAAAGGTTAGGGATTTTTTTATAAGATTTATAGTTCCTGAAGTATTCATTTGTGGATATTTCCAGAAATACATTGCTTTACTGATGAACAAAGCACA